ATTTATAAAAACAGGTACAAACCACCTGGCAGAAGCTAAAAGCAGCTCCAAATTGCCAAACAGGATACTGAGGATACTGTAGTAATGAAATAGCTTACCAAGAGCTGTAAAACTGCCAGACTGATTTGTATGTAGATTTTATCTTGACTTTAATGACACTGAATGAGATCATGTTTTTACCTGTAATCATTATTAGCTGAGTGCCTATGCTGCCTATGCTGCAGAAAACTACATGCTCCTACTGTATGTGAAACGTAGGTGCATGTACAGTATGAAATGAAAACCTATGTAGTATAATAAATTCAGTGTAATCATAATATTATTTTGAAATGTTACACCATATCTGAAGCACTGTAGGACAGACTATATATTTACAGAGAAAACACAACTGATAAATGTATCTATCACATTCCTTTTCCATCCACCAGTAAGGATCTTGTTCTTGGAATGACATCTCTCGTTTTTATTCAAAGATGTGCTGGTTTTGGTAGATTGGATTTTTCTGCATTATAAGAAAGCTGACACAGTAGCCTTCATCAGCGCTGTATCTGTGAGATATCACATGTGAATCCTTGTGCAGAAGAGTCCAATAGTGGCATTGGGACACTGCTTCTAAGATAGGGACCTGTGTTAAAGATGGCAGACAGATACTCTAAAGAAGGGCTGTTGTGCTGCAGAGAGCGACCAATGGAGGCACATTCTGTAGTGGAAAGATGGTTCCAATATTAGAGCTGATACTCTATTGGAAACTGTGGGTGATAGGTGGTGGCAGATGTCTTCAAAATTAGACTAGATTTTCCTTGAAGAGCATTCTGTGATTTACACCAGGGCTTAAAAATTTTCGAGTCTAGATCTACTAGCCAGGCACAAACCTTACTCTCCACCAGTTGCCCCACCCAACCTTGCCCAGGTCTGCCTCCAACCCCGCCCGGCCCATTCCCCAACCCCACCCCCATCCTTGCCCTCAATCATGCCGCCTTAAAGCTTATGAACTTACATTTTTCTTTAGAATAAAGAGTCCAAAATATAAAAAAAACTGCAATTATAACATAGCTTTATTATGTCAATTTAAAAACGAAAAAAGACCGACAATTTTGAAAAAAAAACACCTATTTTTGACTTTTTGCTATTAAACATGTCCAGTAAAAAATTTTTAAAATCAAATAATTTACACCAAATTGTATTCTGCTACATGTCCCACTATGTGTAAATTAATTGGTATACGTGTAAGCTATAGAATTTGCAAATGACGGTATTGATCCTGACCTATAGCGGGACTGCGGCGGGCATTCTGACACTGGGGGGAACTGACTTGGTGTCAATGACATCCACAGTGACACCAATACAGTGATCAATGCTAATAAAAAGCACTGACACTGTACTAATGGCACTGGGCAGGAAGGGGTTAACATCTGCGGCAATAAAAGGATTAACTGTGTGCTGTGTGTGTTTTATTATGGGGCTGTGTGTGTGCTTTCCACTGTAAGCACACTGCTTTGTATGGCTCTGCTATGCTGACAGGGGAGAGATCTGTGTGGTTTACATACAGTTCTCTCCCCCGTCTGTAGTACTTGGCAATCACCATGTGCAGGCGAGTAATCACCAGTCGGGACCCAGTGATAGACAGCGAATGGTGCTGCAGGTAGGGCATGCGGCCCATGCATGCCCCCTATGCCGGAAATGCAAATCACGTATATATGTGATTTTGTGCACTGCAGTTCTGTAGCAGGATTTCTGCTATAGGGTGGCGGGAAAGTGGTAAATTACACTATTAAACGTTTTATTCAGAAGTTACAAAAATAAATAGTAACACCAACAATGTAAATATAAAAGGAAAATAAGTGCTTTACATCAATAGGGACACCATTGCTGAGGCACTAATTCTCCTAGTGATACCAAATCTGAGGCACTATTCCTCCCAGTGACACCAACGATGGGGTACTATTCCTCCCATTGACACCAACAATGGGGCGCTATTCCTCCCACTGACACCAACGATGGGGCACTATTCATCCCACTGAGACCAACAATGAGGCACTATTCCTCTCACTGACACCAACGATGGAGCACTATTCCTCCCACTGACACCAACAATGGGGCACTGTTCCGCCCACTGACGCCCACTGACACCAATGATGGGGCACTATTCCTAACACTGACATCAAGGATGTGGCACTATTTCTCCCACTGACACCAAGAGTGGGACACTATTTCTCCCACTGACGCCAATGACGTGGCATCATTCCTCCCACTGACACCAATGACGTGGCATCATTCCTCCCACTGACACCAATGATGTGGCACCATTCCTCCCATTGACACCAAGCATGGGGCATTGTCCCTTTTACTGATACCGATGATAGGGTACAATTCAACCACTGATACAAATGCTGAGTCCCCACACAATGATGGTGTGTTCCGGCACAAAGAGTTTGGGGCCCTGGAGAGGTTCTTACTTGTGTTGTCAGTGGCTGTCATCCATCCGAGTGGAGTGTCCTCCGTCCTCTCCCCGAGTACCTGGGCTCCTCATCCCTCCTTCAGCTCCAGGAACAGCAGTGCCATGCGGGGTGAAATGTCGGGGTCCCAGCGTCTGATTCTCGGGATCAGAGTGGCTACTGAATGCCAAGTCACACCCATCTTGTCCCCATACACCGGAGTGGAGCCCACCCACTGCTCTAGAATTGGTCAGAGAGTCAGTGGAGCTCATGGCCCCGCCCGCTCCTTCCTCACTGTGGAATAATATACAGCCCAGCATGCCATTGCCTGTCTCCTGTCTTGTGCAGAGTGTCAGCACACACTCGCCCCCACATTATTTCCACTCGCCAAATGCGAGCAGGCGAGTGGAAATTTCAAGGCCTGATTTACACCATCTAGGGGAAAACTGGAAATACCTTAAACTACACTGATTATTGACATTTAATGCTATCCAGTGGCTTAACCACCCAACATATCGACAAGAGACACCAAGAAAGTTTACCCAGAAAAGCTTAAAGCAGAACTTCACCCAAAAGAGAAGTTCCACTTTTACGCCTTCTCCTTCCCCTGCCACTTTTGTAAACTTTATTTTTTGTTGGGAATGGGTACCTGGTTTTGATAGGTACCCTCTTCCACTTCCACCTGTGTTGCCTAAGTGATCCAAGCAGAAGTTCACCCCTCTCTTCACCTGCAGCCTTCTGGGACATGTCACAGGTCCCATAAGAAAGTGGGACCATTCACAAAGTGCAGCACTACATGTGCATGTGCAGTGGGAGGCAAGCTGTGAAGCCACTGTGTAGCCAGCTTCCGTTAGTAAACATGCTGATGTTGGGAACCCAAAGATCGGTGAAGAACCAGCCTGGTTGAGAATGGCGCTGGATTTCTGGACAAGTATGTAACTTTTATTAAACATTAGCCGCTACAATATTTATAGCTGCTGAGTTAAATTTTTTGAGAGATTATTAATGGACTTTTGCTCACATCAGAACGGCTTCTCCCCCTAAACAAGTCAATAGATATGCAAACGCAGCTTGAAATTGATAGAGAAGAGATGTCAAATGCTGGTCAGAAGGACAGTAACTGACAATCAAAAGCACCTGTCAGTGAATTGCCATCTCAAATTGACAACACAGTCACAGAGGGCTTGTGTGCAGATTGGCAGAAACCCTTTTATTGCCATTGTACATTATCTCTAAGCTGTGTACTGTATATTTACATGTGCATGGCAGTACTCTACAAGTATGGAGCAAGGAAGATCAGCCCCTAAAATTAATTTAAAAAAAGTCAAGCCCATACACCCTATTGTAACTTGGCATATATATGCTTTTATCTAATGAATATGTTACATAGTTACATAGTTAGTCTGGCTGAAAAAAGACAAAAGTCCATCCTGTTCAACCATTAAAAAAGAAAAAAAAGGTTATAATCCTATACTCACAGTTGATCCAGAGGAAGGCAAAAACCCCAACAAAGCATGATCCAATTTTCTCCTGCTGGGAAAATAATTCCTTCCTGATCCCCTGAGAGGCAATCAGATATTCCCTGGATCAACTTTACCTATAAATGTTAGTAACCAATTATATTCTGTGTATCTAAGAAGGAATCCAAGCCTTTTTTAAAAGCAATCCACTGAGCTGGCCAGAACCAACTCTTGAGGGAGTCTATTCCACATTTTCACAGCTCTCACTGTGAAGAAATCTTTCTGTGTTTGGAGATTAATTTCTATTCCTCCAAATGTAACGCGAGCCCATATGTCCTCTGTGATGATCTCAGGGTGAATAGCTCTACACCGAGTTCACTATATGAACCACTGATGTATTTATACATGTTGTTCATATCCCCCCTTAATCTCTTCTTCTCAAGAGAGAATAAAATCTTTCCTCATAGCTGACTCCTCCATGCCTTTTATCAGTTTGGTTGCCCTTCTCTGTACTTTCTCCAGTTCCCCAATGTTCTTTTTGTGAATTGGTGCCCAAAACTGAACTGCATATTCCAGATGAGGTCTTACTAATGATTTGTACAGGGGTAATATGATATCTCTCTCTCTGGAGTCTATACCTCTTTCAGTACAAGAGAGGATTTTGCTTGCTTTAGAAACCGCAGCTTGGCATTGCATGTCATTATTAAGCTTATGATCTACCAGAATTCCCAGATTCTTCTCCACCATTGATTCCCCCAGTTGTACCCCCCCCCCCCCCGTATCTATGATGCATGCATACTCTTAGCCACCAAATTTATCAACATTAAACCTCATTTGCCACATAGTTGCCCAATTAAACAGTGCATTGAGGTTGGCTTGTAAATTGAAGACACCCTGTAAGGACGTTATTCCACTGCACAGCTTGGTGTCATCTGCAAAGACTGAAATTGTATTTTTAATCCCAGACCCTATCGTTTATACATATATTAAAAAGTAAGGGTCCCAACACTGAACCTTGGGGTACATCACTGACAAACCTAGAACATTCAGAGTATGAATCATTAACCTCCCTGGCGGTATTCCCGAGTGTAGCTTGGGGTAAAATTTCAGTACCACAAGCGGTATCCCCGAGCTACACTCAGGCTTACCATGCGGCGTTGCTCAGGGATTCCCTGCAGCACTTACCTTGTCCTTCGCTCCCACGATGTGTCCCCTGCAGCGTCCCCGGCCAACTCCACCGGCATCCGGCTTCCGTGTTCCTGTCCCTGTGACATCGGGACGTACGGGCGGGAAATTTGAAAGTTTTAAAAAATGTCTTTTTTTTAAAATGATTATTACATAGCAAAACGTTGCTGTTTCAAACCATTTCACATACATTTTGTCCCTAGTGCTTTGTCCTGTGCCCTGCCTGCATTTTTACTGTTCTTTCTGCCTCGAAACTGGGAAAAGTCCATGGCGTCCAAAAAGCGTCCCTTTAGGTCAAACGTGGTTTTAGACCGGCTAGAGAACAGCAATAGTAAATCAGAACCACTTGCAAAATTGAGTAATAATGATTTGTGGGGAAATTCGTCATCAGACACTGAAAACAATTCTGCAACTTTGCTCAGTGATGTGCGAACTTGGCTCTATATTTCAAATTTCAGTGTTTTTGGTTTGATTATATTATTGAAATAAATGTATTTTTATCATATTATTATATTATTATTTTTTATGATTATTTATTAAACTATAATTTATGATTTCGTGTTTCAAGTTTTATCATATCCGGAATGTTTACTAGACTCTTGTTCGGACAGATTTCAGTCATTTATTCCTAAAAATTACAGGCCTACAATAAAAAAACTACATATTTCCATGCAAAATAATAGTACCGCTTTCAGCACCAAAAATCTGAAATAATCATACCGCCGAGGAGGTTAACCACTACTCTCAGAATACAATCTTTTATCCAGTTTTCTATCCATTTACATGCATATTTTTCCAAGCCCGTAGACTTTACCGTACAAATTAGCCGTGTGTGGGGAACTGTGTCAAACGCTTTTGCAAAATCCAAGTATACCACGTCCACACGCCACCCCTCTGTCCAAGGTTTTGCTCATCTCATCATAAAAAGAAATCAGATTTGTTTGACAACTTCGGTCTTTCATGAATCCATGCTGTCTGTTGCTTAAAATATTTTTTTTCAGCAAGAACTCATCTATGTTGTCTTTTATTAAACTCTACAGTATCTTCCCAACTAAAGAAGTTAAACAGGTCTATCATTACTTGGTAAAGAATTTTGACCCCTTTTTAAATATAGGCACCACATTGGCCTTCCAGTGGTACTATGCCAATCATTAAAAAGCCCCTACAAATTAAAAATAAAATATGTAAATTCTAACTTACAGTATTCACTAGATAAAAATAAAATGTTTTATTCATTCTTATACAAATGCTTCTGAATAAATACTTTAGTGTTTTATTTTACTGTTAAGAGCATCCCTAAAAAAGGGTTTTGCCGTGTGTGTTGTGTATGTATGCAGGGTTTAAAGGGAGGTCTAACATTACACAGATCTGATGGCTAGAAGGATATTGCAGGATTTAGAAGGATCCAGGAGGGTTATTTTGTTAAACCTGGTATAGGATAGATTTTCACTTAAGGCTGATATTTACAGATACTGGTAAATTAGCCTGATCTAGACTAGATCTAGTAGGCATTTTGGGGAGCTTTAAATTTATTGAGTGGACTTCTTCCCTTTGTTTCTGGTATATTTACAGTGCATTCAGCTCAGTGGAATAAAATGGAGCTTAGCCAGGACTTCACATGGGTCTTCCAAACAGCATGTAAAATGCCAACAGTAAATGTAAACATTCACAGTGACTCTTCATCTAAAGTAATTACAAATATGTCTTATTGCCTTTTGCCACAGTGCTTTCTGTGGCCATCTTCTTGGTCAGAAACGTCTTGTTTTACCATACAGGTTATCTTACATTGTGATGTATGTGGAATCTAAATACATTTGCCAAATTAGATTTTAAATGCTACATTATGAGTTGCCTTTTCTCTTTACTCATTCCCTGACCATCAGATGGGAATTTCTGCCATTTGGAGATCATTGAAGGTGGAGAAGTTACTTTTCATCCTGGAGGGGATCTGTATGGAGGATCAATTGCTGTATTGATGTTATATCACACTGCGCATGTTAACCGACTTTGTATGCTCAAATTGTCTGATAAGAGGCCAATCCGTTTCGGGTGTATGGTGACGGTTTTTGGATCAAACATTTTCCTTTTAGGCACCTGCTTCCATTTATTTTGGGACTTATATGGGCTTTATTTAAAGTGACTTAATATTATTGTATAACTAGTGCTGCATTTTCTTCATTTACATCAGTTATAATGACTCTGTCTTTCTTTTGTCTGCACTGAGTTTCTTTCCTTTCATAGTAGCTCAATTTGCATTGTATCTTAAAATACATGATATATAAAACATAATGCAAGGAGAACAGTGGAGTAAATATTTGTGTTTTTTATATGTCACTTTGTCTTTTTCAGACAATAACATATATAGTAATGTGTGTTGACATGTGTATTAAACAGTCATGTTCTTTTGTGTTTAATGTACTAGCAAAGTAAATAGTTGTTTTGTAAAGTGAATCTTCACTGAGCTTAGTAAATAAGATGAGCTTTGTTGGCTTTGCATACTCAATCAGGAGCAATCATTTTTTTGTTGCATATGTGAAATAAATGTAGCTTCATTCATGTAGCAGACATTCACTTTGCAAAGTGAACAATTTCTATTGTTCTAGTATATCAACTCGAATGGAATTTCTCTGTTCAGTGCATTTTGCCTGTTCTGGAAAATGTAGAGTATTGAATGAAAACATTTCTAGTGTGGGCCTATGTATTCTTTAGCTTCAGCTTTGCAACTGAGATCTCAAAGCCTACATCACTTTATCTATTCTGTTGATGGTTCTCCAATGAGAGTATCGCTAGAAGAGCAGTAAGAACACTAAGGGCTTGTTCACACTAGATGCAGTTCAGTGCACTTATTTACTGCATCAAAAATGCATGCATAGTGTTTTCCATGTATTCAAATGGCCCTAGTTCACACCAGTGCAGTCAGTTCCAGTAAGTTTACGGTGCAGAAAAAAAAGTAAAACTTGCTGTATTTTTTCTGCACAGAACCATACTGGAACATGGCAAACGGCATCAAACCTGCACCGGAACTGCGTGTGGCATAAACTGTAAGCAAAAACTTATCCGGAATGCATTTTTGGAGTGTGAACTGGCCCTAAGGCATGGCTCCTTGCTGGTGAATGAGATCCTGCAGTGTTTTAGCCAATGACTGTAGCAGGATAGTTAATTCAAGATAACCCTAATCCTCTCTCTCATATTGACCAAGGAAAAAAGAATGAGGGAAATCTGGGCACTTTCCTGGAAAACTTAGACATGTGTTAAAACATTTCCAAAACTGTACTTATCATCACTCTTTAAAGTGGATCTTCATCCATGACTCTAAAGTACCTCCTGCCCACCCCTCCTCTGCTCCACTGCCTACGTTGCAAGTATTTTTTTTAACCCTCTTTTTTTAAAAAGAGGCTTCGGTGCTGCCTCTAATACACATAATTTGCCTAGGCAAATGATGTGCATAGTGCCCGCTGTGTGGAATATGTACATATACCAGGAGGCCTTACTGCTTACTTCACAGAGGAACAGGGGGGTGGGCCTAATGCCTGGAAGAGTTTGTGGGCCTCTCGATGAATTCAGGTACAACAAGGGAGCACAGAACCAAACAGTGGCAGGATATTAGAGGATCTGAGCAGGACAAAGCTGGATTTGCTGGATGAATGAGTATCTGAAACATACAGATCCCATTTCACAGTAAGAGGGGGTAAAAGAAGATAGGGGGGTGGAGATATGCTTTATGTTCATTAGACTATGTTGCTCCATATAATATAATGTATATCTTCAAATAAAGTACCAAATGTGGAACATTATTTTATAGGGGAAACCTGATCTAGCTATCCATTCAAATTATTATCATTATCTTTTACAAAATATGCATTTATATACTGTCTTGACTCATTGAAGTGGATGTTCATGCAATAGAAGATCACAAGATGAGTCTTGAGTTGAGAATATGTCTATATATTACTCAATTCCATGACACAAAGTGTGCCAAACCACTTTGACAAGTACACCAGCTTCATGCTTGGATGCCTACATTTCGAGAATTCTGAAGGCCTGTCTCCGGGCACATGTTGAGATGCACAATGATGGCACCTGGCTATAGAAGGCTGCCTACTTAGGTGGGTGAGAGGGTAAGGACTCATAGGGGTTGATTTACCTAAACTAAGAATCTGGCGCAGCTGTGCATGGTAGCCAATCAGCTTCTAACTTCAGCTTGTTCAATTAAGCTTTGGCAATAAAAACTGGATGCTGATTGCTTTCTATGCAGAGTGGCACCAGATTTTTTAAGTGCCAGTTTTAGTAAATAACCCCCAATATCTACTGTCTTTGTCTTGATAAATTATGGATCCAGAATTTCCTTATTTCTGTGTCTGCTAGTTTTTTAAGCTTTATTTTTCCTTTAATGCCATCACTTTTTTGTGTTCTTACACAAATTGACAGTAAAAAAAACCAAGCAGCAGTGATGTGAATAAGTTGTCATCATCGCACCCCTTAATTTCTGAGAAAGCAATACAAAGCCAGGTTCTATGTTCTGCAATTGTGATTAGCCCAATATAAAAAAAAAGAAAATATTTTCCTCCTCTTGTTCTGTTTACACTTGTGCAACTCCCAATGTTGTACTGCAAAAATAATAATCAAATAACACAAACAATACATAAATCTAGACCCAGGATTCTGGGTGTGCGACATGTGGCTTTAAGTGCAGGATAAGTGGGGAGTCAAAAATAAAATGATAATTATATTCTGATTGCCAATCACATCATGCTAGAATGCAGCTCCAATTCATCATCAAGACACAAGGACAAGCACAGTCTCACAGTGATTGAATATGAAAAGGAAATTCAATTCATGGTGACATCACCTTGGTTTTATATGGCTGGGAAAGCGCTGAGAGGTACATGAAGATTGGCTCAAGAGACCACAAGCACCATATCGCTGAAATGTATTTCTGAAATGCATATTGACAGCCCTTAACAATCATGATATCCGTTATTCTTCTGCAATCATTTTCAGAACAGTCACTAACCTTTAAACCTTGCATAATAAGCAAGAAAATCTTGCCATTTTACAGTAACAAGACTTGGAGCTCCCAATGTATACAAAGAGACTGATGAATTTTGAAAGAAATTGTTTATTTTTGCGTAAAGCAAACCCATAAGAGAAATATAGGGGTTGCCACTAATGTCTTCCTTCTAAAAATGATAATTGCCTACTTAAGTACTTTCTAAGGAACTGTCCTGAATTAAGTATGCAGAT